CTGCTTCTCCCTCTGGCCCTCCCCCTCTCATGTGCTCTCTCTCTCTCTCTCTCAAATAAATAAATAAAATCTTTAAAAAAAAAAAAAGAAAAGGGGGAACAGTGGCTGACTATGGGGAGAAATTACTACGGACACTAGCAAGCTTTTAGGGACCTGGTTACAAAAAGTAGAGGTAACCAAGGGATCTAGTCAAAATTAACTAGTTAGGTGGGTCATGGTGTATCTGTTCTGGGTAACAATACACAACACTGAAAGTGATGTCTAGGAAGGCTGCTTAGCTGACAAATTCGTTAGTTAGCAAATGATAAGAAACCAAAGTGTATGTAGACTATGGCTCTAAAATATTAACCACATACATAGACTAGCTACAATTAAAAGAAAATGTCCATAAGGAAGGACAGTGGTGGCTATGTCAGAGTGATGGGCGAGGGTGTTATTTTTTTCCTACCAATTTTTTCTTTGATATTCTATTACTTTTACCATTCAAATAAAACTGCTACACAGTAAGCTCATGAGTGAAGAAACTATCTCAATACCACTATCTCTTTCCCAAAGATACTACCAAGAAACGTGTTTCAATGTTGATGATACAAACCTAAATCGATGTACTCATCAATCTCCCACACTATGTCAGGTACAATCCATTTATAGTCACTAAGGTCAGGTATCATATCTTTCCACTGATCAAAAGTCTAAAAGAAAAGAAAGTACGCCAATCAAATGCTCTGAACGTCATACAAACATAAAGAAAAACTACCTTAATTTACCTAATTAAAACATGTTAATCTACTACGAACGATGTATTATGTTCAAACATTTTAGAAACAAAAGTAGCCTCGGCTCTTCTAAAAACAAATTAGCTGGCAAGCATATAAAATATGTAAATATTCCTTTACAAAATATGGAAAACGTAAAAATTCAAAACACGGTCTTATTTCAAACAGGTTTCATGACCTGGTTTTAAACAATACTGTGGAACAGAAGACAAACGGGGTGTCGCCTCTACTCCCAAAACTGCCAAAAAGTGGTTGTGTTAGCATGCCACCTACTTTCCTGTCTGAGCTACTAAGTGGCAAGCTGAAAATCAAACCTAGGTGACCTCACCCCAGCCCAGTGCTCCCTTCCACTAGGCCATTCTCATCTCCTTTAAGTATAACCAAGATTCAAAGAGCATTTTTCTGTTAGCACCATTAAAACAATTTAGCACATGGTAGAGATACACAATACGTTTTTAAATATCTAATTATATTCTATTGCACAAAAGAAAAATGGTTTGTGCTATAAAACCCTCAAATAATCATGCTAAAATAATTGAAAAAGCAGTAGAAATTAGACTCACCTTTTTGGCTGTATAGCCACCCCCAACAGCAGATCCTAGTATGAGATATCGAAGTTTTAAGAGTCTTGCAGCTAATCTCGCTGGCCAAAAATTCCTGCGTGGCTGGTAGCCATATTTAATTGGAGAAAGTTTCAATTTACGTAAGGGAAGGTTAGTTAGAGAGGAGAACTGATGAAATGATGTCCTGAATTGGGGTCTTTGAAGCTTTAAGGTAGGATGATGTGAATGATAAATACTTCTTGAAACCAGATGCAGTTTTTGTAGTGGTAAGCTTCCTTTGATTCCAGAGCTACGTTTCACTAAGGATTGGCAGACCTCACTAAAAAAAAAAAAGAGCACGGGACAAAGATCAGACTGCATAACAATGCAAAGGAAATGATATAAAAAGAGCAATATACCCAAGAGAAAACACACAGGTGGGCATGTGACCAACCACATTATGTCAGACCGTACCTCGCATTTTCTAACCATTTACTACATGCCCGGGACTGTTGCAGCAGTGCTACCTCCTTTAATCCTGCTAAAAATCCTATGGTGAAAATACTGGTATTACCTCCATTCTACCAATGAGGAAAAGGTGGCACAGACACATAAATAACTTGCTCAAGTCCACACAGACAGGATTCAAACCCAGGCAGTGGGACTCCAGAGCCTGCCTCTCATTTACTTATTAACTGCTATTCACTTTCAGTAAAATTGGAAACAAAATGAATGCAAACCTGCTTTTAAGCACAAAAATTCCAACAGCTTAGCATAGCTATTGTTTGGCCTCTCCTCTAGGTCTCAGATAGCCCAGGGATAGAAATTAAGGAAAAATCATTAACTACATATAAGGTACCTGACTGAAAGTTTCTGAATAGAGTAAGATTAATTAAAGAGTAATAAAAGAAGATACTAAAGGCAATGTGCAACAATCTGAATATTTGTGTCCTCCCCCAATTTATATATGGAGGCCTAATCCTCAACATGAAGTATTTGGAGGTGAGGCCTTTGGGAGGTAACTTGCTTTGTATGTGGTCATGGACATGGAGCCCCTGTGTTGGGATTGGTACCCTTATAAGGAGATGAAGAATACAGATCGATCTCTCCCTCTCTGTCATGTGAGGACACAGAAGGAAGATGCCCGTCTGTGAACCAGGAAGCGAGTCCTTACCATACACTAAATATGCTGGCACCTTGATCTTGGAGCTCTCAACCTCCAAGAACCGTGAGAAATAAATGTCTACTGTTAAAACCACTCAGTTTTTGGTAATATGGGGAGTGATAAGGTGATTGTATATAAGTTGTGCAGATATAAGAGAACAGACTAGAGTGAGTTAAGGTGGCAGCACTGAAAAAGGAAGGGAACGGTAGATACCAGAATGACAGACTAGACACGGGAGACAAGGGAAAAGAGTAAATAGTAATCCTGATGTTTTCGCTGGGAGACTAACATTACCACTTACAGATATAAAAAAAAAAAAAAAAAAATCAAGAGCCAAACCAACTGGGGGGAATAGCCCATGGTTCCATAACGTTTAGCTCAAACTTCTTTCAGCTCTATCCTTATAGCCACTTAGTGTTTTGAGCCAGATAAACTTTGGTTCCATTTATAGTTTCACTGCTTACCTGTGTGCAATCAAGGGCAAATTATGAACTTACCAAAGCCTCAGTTTTTTAAAATCTGTTAGAATGGGATAATAGCTATATCAGAGTTATTGTCAATAATCACTAATTGAAGTTATCTTCTTCTCAGACCATAATCCCCTTCGATACAAGTATCTTTGATGCTACTGGAACAACCAAGTCACGGATCCTTCTATCTTCTTAACCTATTAGTCTTCACCTTATCTATTTATCTACTTACCTACTTACCCACCTTATAATAAATAGTTCATAGTTTCAGTGGCTCTTCTGCAAATAATCTAAACTCAGTTGCCCTCTGGTTTTTTGTTACACTTGTCTGGCAAAATACAAACCCTAGATGAACTTTATTATCACTTTAAGCCTGTACCAAGGGAATGAAGCACTACTGAAGAAAATTGCATCTACTGGACAGACATCTCACCTTGGTCCCCAAGAACGCCTGACAATCTTACATTTTTCCACTCTCTGATAGGACTATTTCAGATGTTCTCCACCCTCCTCTACCCTCCCACATTCTCCCTATACTTCCTGCAATCTTCTGGAGAAAATGGAAGCCATCAGGAGACATCCTGTTATTTCCTACTGCATCTACACCCACCCTCCTCTAGCTCCCTGTCCCCTCGGGTCCTGAGCCCTGAGCCCTGTGAGATTACAGTTAGTACTCCTCTTCCCTTCAAAGGCAAATCCCTCTGTTTCCTTGGAATTCTTCCTGCCTTTTCAGGAATCACTAGTCAAGTCTCTCTCAATTTAAAGAAGAGAGAAAAAACAGACACTGGTTCCCTGCTCTAGCTATTCTATTAAAAGCCAAACCAACCTGATTTCCATTTGTATCACTTCAGTGAAACAGCCCTTACTGAGTGTCTTGATGCCTTCCAATGGGTATTTATTTTTTCAATTCTCATTTTCTCTCTCTCAGCAGTATCTGACAGTGTTGACCCCCTCCTTGCTGGAACTCCCTTTACACCGATAGTCACTAGCTTTACTCCTACTCACTGGCTACTCTTTTTCAGGCACCCCCCAGCTACCCCCCTTTTTTTATTTTATTTATTTATTTATTTATTTATTTTAAAGATTTTATTTATTTGACAGAGAGATAGAAGAGCACAAGCAGAGGGAGTGGCAGAGGGAGAGGGAGAAGCAGGCTCTGCACTGAGCAGGGAACCCGATGTGGGACTCGATCCCAGGACCCTGAGATCATGACCTGAGCCGAAGGCAGACGCTTAACCATCTGAGCCACCCAGGCGCCCACCTTTTTTTATTTTAGAGAGAGACAGACAGAGAGCTTGTGAGCAGAGTGGGGGGTGGGGCAGAGGGAGAGGGAGAGAGAATCCCAAGCAGACTCCCCGGTGAGTGCGAAGCCCAACACGGGCTTGATCCTAGGACCCAGAGATCACCACGCCAGCAGAAATCAAGAATCAGATGCTCAACCAACTGAACCACCCAGGCGCCCCTCCCCAACTACCTTTTAAATGTTGGGAGTTCATGGGACTTTAGATATAAAGTCACTTCTCTTCTCATTCTATTCACTCTTCCCAGGCAATCTTATCTATACCCATTTCCTCAATTACCACATACATACTCATGTTTCTCAAAACTTGTATGTCTAATACAAATGGCTAAGTTCCAGATCCTTGTGTCCAAATGCCTACTGAACATCACCCCTTAAATATCAAAAAGTACCTCAAATGTCCAAATCCATGATATCCTTCCTCCCTCCTCCCAAACCCTCACCCCCCCTCTAGTACTTCCTATCTCAGGAAATGGCACAAACACCTGTCCAGTTGCACAAGCCACAAACTTGGGGTTCATTCTTGATACCTTCCTCATCCTCAAGTTCTACTTCCAACACAGATCTCGAATCTTCCATTTCTCCCATCTCTACTACCACCGTTCCTTACCTTGGCTGCTATTAACAGTCTCGACTGAGGTGTTCTCCACAGCACAGTCAGAGCACTCTTCTGAAATGTAAATCTGATCACTGTCACTCACCTGCATAAATCTCAATGTCTCCTACATTCAGAATAAAATCCAAACTCCTGGTCTATAAAGCCCTCCAGGGTCTGGTCCTGCCTCGCTCCCTCCCACCTCCCAGCTTCACCCAGACCAGTTTTCATCTAGCTCCTGGACTGTGCCATACTCCTTCCCGCCTCAGGGCCTTGATACCCACTGTACTTGGACAAACTCTTCTACCTACTTAACTCCCGCTACTCCTGTTAACTCTGGTCACAAATGGTTTCACTTCAGCATTCCCTCCTCTCCTGGAACCTATATTCTAATTTGAGTCCCTTGCTACAGTTCTTAGCTCCCTGTACTTTTTCTTCAGTGCACATAAAATTGGTATTACATAATATTGTAATTATTGGATTAATATTTGTCTCTAGCAGTAAACTGCAATCTTCATAAGGCCAGGGCAGTCCTGTTTTGCTTGTCATTGTATTTCTAAAGCCTGGCCCAGTGCTTCACAAGTAGTAGATGTTTAATAATTTTGCTGAATGAACATATGTTATTGGGAGAATAGCAAAAACAAAACAAAACAAAAGGTGAAAGAACCTAGCAATGACCATAGAGTAAGTGCTCAATAAATGTCATTTCAACATTAACTGCACTAACCTCTACTAATGTATCAATGAGTAGCCCTCTATCCCTCAGAAGTTGTTTGCTTTTTTCAAGAAAGGAGTTAATCCAAATATATATCCAAATAGATAAACTCCAGACCCAAGGAGTCCTGTTGCTAAGATGCTATTACAAAGTTTATTGAATTAAACATGTCTTTAAGAGCTTAATAAATGTCTGAAAGGAATTCATGGAAATTAAAGCTGTAATAGCCAATAAAAAAAGATGAATAGCAACACCAGAAAATGTATTAAGGAAATTCTTGGGAACTTAGAACATAAAGAAAAATGGTGGAAATCAGTAGAAAAACGTTAAGTGACTCAGAGAAGTGGTATCCAAAGTGGGGATGTGTGTGGAATGCGTTCCATAGGATACACAAAATGACTCACTGGGATTCAGGAAAAAGTACCAAAGCTTCTAGATACAGTATTTTTTTGTATCTCATCCTTCAAGATTATGTTAGGGTAGAATTATAATGTAAATAATTAATACAGAGATATATATAATTTAAAAATAAGTGGGCATATACACATATTGTAGCATATGCCTACTTTTTTTTTTTTTTTTTTTAACATATGATAAGCACAGATCACATTTTGCAAATCATGGACATACAGGATCAATCTAAGAAGACCAATTCACCTAACAGGAGTCTAAAAACAAAGAGGAAAAATGAAAGGAAGAAAATAAAGAAAGAAGAAAAACTTCCCAGAACTGAAGAATCTTAACAGAAAGGCCCACTAGTACCAAGCCAGATTTGGGGTGGAGGTTGAAGGGGGGGACCCACACCTTTGTCAAGGACAAAGCCTTGAGAAATTAAAGATAAGGCCAAGATCCTGAAAGCTTCTGTGAAGGGAAAAACAGGATACCTACAAATACCCAAAAATCAGATTGTCCCAAGAGTCTGTATTAGTGACAAAGGATGCTAGAAAAAAATGTAGAAATGCCTTTACCATTCTGAAGGAATAGTATTTTGAATACAGATTTCTATATCTGGCCAAACTAAAAATCAATGTGATGCAAAACAACCCCCCCCAATGACTCCCGAAATCATGTATTCTCTCTCATCTACCATCTCTTTTAACCTATGTATGTATCATCTCCTAATACAAATTCTTTTTTCAACAAATTTACACAAACATTTATTGCACCTAAATAAGTGTTGGTCACTGATCTTCTTATATTACCATATGTATTTAGATATGTTATATCAAAAAATGTTTATGTTCCCATCTGTTTAAGAATGGGAATATAAATGTACTCCTTCGTAACAAACACGCAAAAGAAATACTGCAAAAGACAAATTCCAGAGCTTGAGGCTTCTGACCTTCCACATCTCTACTTCTGCAGGGGAGCTAAACTGTGCTATCAACATAAACACTTCTAAGCCATGACTCTGTGGAGTCAATAGTAACTTAAGCAATTTAGCGCAACAGCATCCACCTGAATAAACAAATATCAGTTATTAATCAGTCTGTTGTTAAGCTCAAATTTTAAAGTTTTCCTACGTATCTCTTTTGTTCCAATGAAGTATGCTATTTTCTGCAAAGTCTTTTTTCCCTTTTTATTTAAATAAAATTAGATATGTTTCTCCAGGAAACAGTGAGGAGTAGAAATAAAAAGGTAGTAAATAATTTACCGCAGTATCAAGGGCTGTGGATTTACTCAGAAACTCAAATTCCATAAAATTAGAAATAACTATTCAGTTATTCTGACTATAGCTATTGTATGTCATCCAGTTCTAAATTTAGACTCAACCTTCATAAAAATGGATTCCATTCCTTATAAAAACTAGAAATTACCTACACCATTTTATTTATTTATTTTTTTAAAAGATTTTATTTATTTATTCATGAGAGACAGAGAGAGAGAGAGAGAGAGAAGCAGAGGGAGAAGCTTCCCGCGGAGCAGGGAGCCCGATGCGGGACTCAATCCCAGGACCCTGGGATCATGACCTGAGCCAAAGGCAGACGCTTAACTGTCTGAGCCACCCAGGCGCCCCTACCTACACCCTTTAAACAACGTTATGAAAAAATTCAAGACAGGTGTTTAGAAGCGAATTCAGGAAAACCAAATTTTTCTAACCTTATTTGATGCATATTACTTCTTATCAACAGCCTGCAACAATGAGTTAAGCCTGAAAGTATTTAAGGATATTAGAACACAAATACGTGTAAAGACACAGTCAAATTTAAATCTTATTAAAATGTATATAGTAACCCACAGAAATGAAAAGATTCTAGGATTTTTTACTTGGGCTTAAACCAGGCCAGGGCAGCAATAACAGTGTGATTAGAAAGTTGGTGCTATATTCACCACTTTGCATCCAAAGCAAGTCTTCCTGCCTAAAAATGAAAAGCTGCTATTAAGAGGGCATCTCTAACCACCATCTCTGACACCATTTGCATCACTGCCCAGAACTGACTCCAAAGCAAGTCTACTCAGCGGATTAGGACAAGAGGCAGAGTCCTCTTCACTCTGGGAGAAGAACTTGTACCCGCAAGAGCAATGTACACCTGGCATGGAGGTGGAAGAAAAAGAGTTAAGAGAGAGGCGGAGAGGGTGACACATGAACAGAGCCAGAGGCCGGAGAGGTAGAGGGCAGAAACAAGAAGCAACCAGAGACAGCGATAACAGCAAGGGCAGAAAGGTGAAAGGGGCAGGGACAAAAGGACAATAGAGACAGGCCAAGACTGAAAGGAGCCCAGAATCTTCGAATGGCAAAGGAACAGGAACAAGGGCCAGGACTGCAACCGGCACCTCAGGTAAGCCGGGTCAGGGCTCTGTTAACTACGGGTCCTCAAAAATATCCCGGAATCCTCCAACCACCCTCCGCCTGGCCTGAGAGTTACGTGCACATTCTGAAGGTAGTGATGAAATAACTCGGGTTTTCCGGAGGCCCCAGAAATAACGGGGCCAGGTCGGAGCCCACACTTACCAGGCCACGGCGGCCCGGCGTAGTCGCCACATCCCGCCGGCGAGGAAGTCACACAGGCGCCGACAGGGCCACGCGGCAGCCCGGGTGTCAGCCCCCGTCCGGCCCTTGCTCCAGGAATGACCCAGGAAGAAGCCCTCGGCAACAAGGGCACAGAGCAGCCACTGCGGCCCTCCCAATGGCGCATGGACTTCCGCGAGAGCCCGGCCGGCACCCGTATTCCGTCCGTCAGAAAAACAAGCACCCCGCACCCTTCCTAGGAGGGCAGCACAAACGGCCCGCGGAGGAGTAGTGTCCGCGCTCAGAGCCTCCAGAGGAAACACTTTCCGCTTCCCCTCACCCTTTCCCTCCGTCTTTGTTTCCGGGTTGGAATTACGAAATTTGAGCTTCCCAGGTCAAAGATTTGGAGAGGGGAGGAGGTGAGAGTGGGGCAGGGACTGGTAGGGTGTAGGGCGAGGAAAGCGGGTTGATAAATTCTCACTGGGTAGCTACCGATTTAAGAAAATTTAGGTATTGATGGAGCATAGAGGAGCCTACGTAGCATCAAATGAATACAGTAATAGTGTAATAGAATAATAAAAACCAGTGGTTGCCCCACTCTTTTGTTCGGTGTCCTTGTTTACAAAGCACTTTCAGAACAATCTTGGGAAGCAAGAGGAGTCACGGATTGGTTAAGTGCTTTAGGATCTGAAGGACCTCTGAGAAGGGCTCGGATCAATTAGACCAGCTGTGGGTTTGGGATAAGTTTGTGCACTTTATAAAGGCATCAAAACTTATTTTTAATTCACTTTTTAAATGGCTTTCATTTGGCTTTAATGGCATCTGTCAAAGCCTCCAACAATTCCAAATTATCAGTGGTCCCTGGACCTCAGCGTTCAGCTTAGAATGTTGGGTGCTCAGCACTCTCCTTAGTTGGCTTCCTTCTCTGGGTTTTGGGGACATAACATTCTCCTTTTTCTCCAGGAGCTGCTGCTCCCCATTCTCCTTTGCTGGTTCTTCCTCTCCCCAAACTCTCAGTGTAGGAGAGTTCCAAATCTCAGAGTTCCTGGGCCCCTTTCCTTCTCTATCTTCATTCTCTCCCTACCTTATTTGAATCAGTTCTATGACTTTAAATACTGTTTTCCCTTAACACTCTTGTGTTTTATGAGGAAACTGGGACCCATAAAAGGGATGTGGCTTGTGAAATGTAATGAAGTCAATTAGTGACCAAAATCAAAGGGCCCTGTGCCCCCCTCTTCATTTAAACAGCACTCAATCATCAGAATCCTAAATCAGTCTCCATCCATTCACAACAAAGCCAAGTATTAGACCCAACCCTTGGTAGTAAACTTTCCAAATGCAGGACTCTGGGGGATTTTCTTTCTTTATTGTGGTGACTTTTAATGGCAGGTCCAGATAGGAACTTGCTATATTGTGCAAACTGTAGCTTTTTCCAGGATTGCAGAGTTGGGCAAAAATTCCTTTGTTACTGTTACTTCCCAGTTGTTTTAGAAAAAAATAGAAACCAAATAATGGTAACCCCTTTCATACATGGGTTACCTTTACATTTCACAAAGCCCCCCCCCTTTTTTTTGCAATTCTACTTCTAGGCACTTAGCCTGAATCATTCCTTCATGTGCAAAGACAAATGCATGATGTTTATTTTTGCATTGCATGAAATAGTGAAAGATTGGACTCAACATCGTTAAAAGATAAACTGAGGCATAATAAAAATTGTAAGTGTTTATTTGATTAAAAATTGATTTGAATTAAGCAGTGCCAAGCCAGAACTCTATCAACAGGACCAGGGACAAGACTTTTATAGAGAAGACAGGGAAGCAAAAGCGAGGAAATTTGGCTATAGCTTATATGATTGCCTTATTTGGGAAAGTCTAGTTGACTGCGATTGGTTGCCTTAGGTATTGCTTGCTTGCTTTCTTGCTTTCTTTCTTTCTTTCTTTCTTTCTTTTTATTTAAATACAATTAGCCAACATATAGTACATCATTTGTTTCAGATGTAGAGTTCAGTAATTCATCAGTATTGCTTTCTTAACCTTAAAGCATTTATAGGCTTAAGTTTTGGTTTGCTTAGTAGGCTGCCAAGGCATTAGAACCAAGTTGGTCTATATATTCAGCACATTCCCAACATAATCCCAGCAGGCATATATTGTAGAAATTAACAAAATATTCTAAAATGTATATAGAAATGCAAAGTGTCTAGAATGTCTAAAACAAAGAACAAGTAGAGTATTTATAACCAACTGACTTTAAGACTTAATATTATAATCAAGACAGTATAGTACTGGGATAAGAACAAATAGATCAAGGGACAAAATTAGAGGGTTCAGAAATAGATCTCCATTTGTGCAGTCAATTGGTTTTTGGCAAAAGCACCAAAGCAATTCAATAAAGATAGAAGTCTTTTTAATAAATGATGTGAGAACAATTGGATATCTATATGGGAAAAAATATACCTTACACATGCTATACATAAAATTTAGTATAAATTTATATCATATGCAAAAATTAGTATACATAAACAAAAGTTATATAAGCTGGGACATAGCCCTAAATGTAAAAGTAGAAACTATAAACCGCTTGAAGAAAATATAGATTATCTTTGCAACTTGGGAGTAGACAAAGATTTCTTAGGTCACAGAACATAATACCACAAAATTAAAATTGATAAATTAGACTACATCAAACAAATACTTCTACTCATGAAATAACAACACTGAGAAAATTTAATAGACAAACATCAAATTTGGAGAAGATATTATTAGAATATTTATCTGACAATGTATACATGTCCAGAATATATAAGAAATTCTTACAACTCAGTAATAAGATAAACAACCTGCTATAGTTTGAATGTTCATACTAAGGCCCATTTTGTTGGAATTAGGGGCCTTTGGAAGGCCTAAATCATGTGAGGGGAGCCCTCATGAATGGGATTAGCCTCTTATAGAAGAGACCCCACAGAGCTCCCTAACTTTTCCACACTATGAAGTTACAGCAAAAAAGACAGCCATTTATGAACCAGAAAGCAGACTCTCACTGACCAGAACAAGACCATGCTGGTGCCTTGATCTTGGACTTCCCAGCCTCTAGAACTGTGAGAAATTTCTGTCTTTATAAGCTACCCAATTTATTTATGGTATTTTGTTATAGCAGCCCAAATGGACTAAGACAAAACCCAGTTAAAAATTCAAACAAACACAACACAAAGGAAGATGTGTGTGTGTGTGTGTGTATCTGTATCTATCCAAAGAACACATACAGTGCTCAGTGTTATTAGTCATCAAGGAAATGCAAATTAAAACCACAATGACATAACACTGTATCTTCACTAAAACTGCTAGCTTTAAAAAAACTGACAATACCAAGTGTCAGTTTCTTACAAAGTTAAACATATACCTCCCCTTTGGTCTAGGGATTCCAGTCATACAGATTTATCTAAGAGAAATAAAAACATGTTGTGCACAAAAAGGCTTGTATAAAAATGTTCATAGCAGCTTTACTCACAGTAGCCAAGAACTGGAAGCAAACCAAATGTGCATCAATAAGAAAATGGATAAATGAATTTATACAAGGAAATACTACTCAGCACCAAACGGGGAAGAACTACTGGACATGTAACAACATGAATCAGACTAACAGACATGCTGAAATCAAAAGAAGATGTTCCACTTATAGGAAAATGGGTGTTAGGAGTGGGAAAGGAACTTGGAGAACTTTTTAGGTAGATGGAAATGTTAGGGGTCTGAATTACTTGGATGTATCTGTTTATCATAATGTGCAGCTAAGAACTGTGCATTCCAAGTTTCAGATATATGTATGTACATTTTGTATGCATCTATAAATTGATTGAGTGGGGAGGGTTGAAGTAGGTGGAGATTAGATGGAACAAGAGTGACAAAGGGTTGATAATGATGAAAGCTGGGTGGTAGGTACATGAGGGCTCTTTATACTTTTCTGTTCACTTTGTATGCATTGGAAATTTTCATCATAATGGCTTTAAAATTTATCACATACTTCTTGAAAAAATAATGCAGGAAGAAAAATAAAATGAATGTGACAGAATGGTAGTCTTGTGGGTAAAAGAAGGAGGAGCAGAGGCTGAATAGGAAAGCCTGTGTACGATGTAGAATTCATTCCAGCTGTATTCGTTTCCTATTGGGCTATAACAAATTACCCCAAATGTAATGGCTTAAAACAAAACAAATTTATTATCTTACTGTTCTAGGGGTCAAAAGTAAAAATGGGTTTCACTGGGCTAAAAATGTGTACAGTGCTGCTTCCTTTTGGGGGCTCTCAGGAAGAAGCTGGCTTTTTGCCTTTTACAGCTTTTAGAGGCTGCCCACATTCCTTGGCCTCAGGCTCATTTCCGTCTTCAAAGCTAGCAATGACTGGCTGAATCTTTGGAACATCATCTGCCTTTGACACTGACTCTCCTGCTTCCCTCTTCCACATTTAGGGACCCTTGTGGTTTCATTGGGCCCATCCAGATAATCTAGGGTAATCTTCCTATATTAAAGTCAGCTGGTTAGCAATCTTAATTCCATCTGCATCCTTAATTCTCCTTTGCCATATTCACAGGTTCCAAGGATTAGGATGCAGACTTCTTTGTGGAAGGCATTATTCTGCTTACCTCACAGCTCCATTTAAATTCTTTTCAATGATCTCTCTCTGATACTAAGGAGTGTGTGTGTGTGTGTGTGTTTGAAGTATCAAGTGTATGGAGCTCAGCCACACTCAGAAATAGCTGTAGTTTTAAAATTGTACTTCTAATATTTGTTCTTTATCATTTTCTTAGTTTTAATGACTTTCATACCTTTGTCTTCTTTTCCTGCAATCTAAGAAGAAATCTCAAGTCCGCATTCCATGCCACAAATTTCATTTTCTGCAGTGGCACTTTTGCCTTCTAAGTAGTTTCTTAAAAGTTACTTTTACAGGGCGCCTGGGTGGCTCAGTTGGTTAAGCGACTGCCTTCGGCTCGGGTCATGATCCTGGAGTCCCGGGATCGAGTCCCGCATCGGGCTCCCTGCTCGGCGGGGAGTCTGCTTCTCCCTCTGACCCTCCCCCTCTCATGCTCTCTCTATCTCATTCTCTCTCTCAAATAAATAAATAAAATCTTTTAAAAAAAAAAGTTACTTTTACATTGTAAATCTTGAAATGTTTCCTTTGCTTATCTTTACTGCTTTCTGTACCTGTATTTTAGGGGTCAAGCTTTTTTCATCATGTTAAAGATGCAAAATTATTGTCTAAAAT